GAACAGCTTTCAGCACATACCTCTTCCAAAACGGTTGAACTCACACATTCATCACTGAATACCTACACTTCAAATCCCAAGTATGAAGACTATTGGTTATGAGATTTGAATGCAGAAACTATATGATGTCTGACAATAATCTACATTTTATTAACTATTTATGCAAAAGGAATGAAGCTTTAGGAAAATCAGAAAAATGAAAATGTGACTTCATGAAGCCAATAACTTATTGTGCAAAAACCTGAACCCCCAAAAAGGTAATTCATAACAAACCACATTTTGTATTTACAAATAGGTGAAACTAAAAGCAATTCTAAATAGGGCACCTATATCACTAGACATGGATCCTACTAGCATACATTGACAAGAATTACAGTTTGAAAGCACAGAGAGATGAAACAAATGGCATCCTGGTAATGTTATAGCCTAATCAAACCTAAAATATTGGTCTGGGCTTTGACCAACTATGTTTTCACTCTAGAGAGTTAATATACTGTATGTATGCTTTTCTCTGTGTTAGTGGAGGATTATTAGCTGATGGGTTCCCACTTTTAGGGAACTATATTATGTTTGCTAAAATTAAAGTAGAACTAACAACAACATTTTTTTTTTTTTATTTTGAATAACCCTGGTAAGTTGTTATTTTTGCCACACATGTCCCATTGGGAAGATTTCCCTCCACTTTTCTGTTCCATAGTAAAAACAGGAAATTAGAGGAAGTCTAATTGTATTAGAGGAAGCTTTGGAAAACTTTCCCTCTATTCCTATTCTGGTGACAACCCAAAATTTGGGATTTTCTTTCACGCTTGGGAATAATGGCAAATAGGACAAACAAGGTGAATCTCTCCAGCAGGGGCACAGACAGCATTACAAATCTGGATGTTTTCTAATCCATCTTCACTCTATCCAAAACCAAATAAAAGCTTTGCCTTTATTTATACTTTTTAAGTAAGGCAACAACAACAGTTTGTGTAGTAGATCCAATATTAAATCCATGTGTCTCTTTTCATACTTTATTCAAACATAACGTAGCAAGCCAGAACTTTAAGGACTACATATTTTTAATGATTAAGAGGGTTAGCTACCATGGAAAGCTAAAAGAAATATGAATAATTTCTAACACAATAGCAAATATTGTTGTGAAACGAGAAAAAAAATGAATTCTTCACACACATAATTTACAACACATGGAAACTCTTCATCGATGTAAAAAATATTACTTACTGTGATATAACATAAGCATTGTGGCGTATATAAATTTATCTAATAGTAGTCCAGATGTTCCCTAGTTCAAATGTACAAACTGAAGATAAGACCCAGTTAAAGGTCACTTAAAGAGATAATAAACTTGACAGTCTTATGTAGCTATATAAGGTTTTTTTTTTCAGGCTAGACTGTTCATGGTGGCATACACTACCTTTCAAACAACTGTTGTAGTATTTAGATTCATGCATGAAAGTGAACATTTTCTGATCTAAACTACCAATACAAGAGGGCTGCTGCATGATTATCCTACAATACTTTATTCATTTTAGTCCCACTGCATAGCTTTTTTATTGTAGTGCTTGACTGCCATAGTGAGTGTAGACTTTCCAGCACAAATAAAATTTGGGCAATATTTTGTTAATGTGCTGTAGGCATTGCTAATTTGAATCCCTGTCTCACTCTCAAAAATCCCTATCTGTTTTCCTCTGCAGTGTAATAGCTGATGTACCTCCACACACGTGCAAAATACCTACAAAATGTAACCTTTGTCAACAGAAGGGAATAACAGCATTTGAATTATTATCCAAGTTACATTAAATGGCATACTTTGGGAATTATTTATGAAAAATGGAAAAAATATTATTGCAAAAATGGAACTCTTACCAACAGCTCCAATTTTGTTCTAGTTACCATAACTCAGTCCTCATTTACTTGCATACTGAATATGACCATGTTCTTTTCATTTTACTGAAGGTCAAGTATTTGCCTGGGGCCCACAACCGTGTTTTGAGAAAACACTTGGTAACTGACTTTAAACATACCTTGCCAAAGTAACATACATAAAGAATTTTAAGATAGGTACACCCAAACTAATTCTTCAGCTTTAGGTTGCCATCAATTGGTTGGTTCACCTGTCTTATCTTTCTTCATATCTCTTAGAGATTACAATGGCATCATTCTCCTCTGAGACGTCTTGGCTATAGTGCCATTGTACTGTAGATATTACTAAGGTAAGCAAAGGAGTTTCAAACCAGTAAAACTGGTTTCAAACTAGTAAAGAATACTGTGACTAGTGTGAAACTGGTTTGTTATCGCTCTGACAGGTGGGTGGAGCTAGAAATGGAAAGCACACCACCAGAGTGTCCTACAAATATTAGAAACATATTGGCGATTCAGCTGTCAACATTTATGGAAACCTGAAATGGGCAGACTAAATAGACCACTTGCTATAGTTTATGGTTCTGCAGTCAAAATAATGTAAAAAAAAAACAGCTTTACAATAAAAATTCTTAAAGTAGAATACCAGCTAACACCTACTGTATCTAGCCTTAAACTGTCCAGGTAACACCTACTATTCTTAAACTGTGCCTGTCCCCTTAACAGCTATGCTAACTAACCCATATAAGAAAAATATATATATTTACCTATTTTCAGGCCACTCCTGTCCAGTCACTTGATCTAGCTCCCCTGCATCAGCCAGTGCGGCTGGAAGAGACAGGGAAGATGAGGGAGCTTGGATAATGGATGGGTCATTGAAGCCTATGGGTGATGTCACCACTTCAATCTTTATTAGCTGTTGTAAGAGTGCTCCTTCCTCTCCCCTGCATCTGCCACTGACTGACACATGGGAGATCATGTGACCAGACTGATGCAGTCTCAAAGTAGGTACATCTTTTCTACACAGGTTGGTTAACATAGGTGTTATGAGGGGGAAGGGGATAGTTTTAGGTTAGTTAGTAAGTAGTTAAATTCTGTATATCAGTGAACACAAAATGACACGGGAAACATCTAACTGAAATAAAACGTTAACTCTGACATTCAAGTAAATGCATGGTCCTAGTTGTAAATCCCATTTGTTATGGCAAAGAATAATAATAACTATGGGCATTAGTTTTGATGATGCTGAAGCCAAGATAATCTTTTTACACGTAACATTTTAACATTTCTCAAGAAAATATAATTAAGGCCATACGAAATTAAATCAGATTCTGATCATTGGAGTAGATCATAATATACAATGCAGGGCATCAAACGTATACATACAGCCCTGACAACATGCACCCTGACAACATATACCACATATCCACCAGCTGAGCTGACAGCAATGATATCAGCAACTGGCACATTAAACTTTATTGGAACTTTGTATAACAGCCACAGCAAGCTAAAAGCAAAGCTTTTCCTTATGTTTCATGGAAATGAACAGCAGGATTATTGTCCGGCATTGAAATGCTGCACAAAGGAGAGCTTTCATTACTTTCAGACAGTGATGAATGTTGTAGTAATGTGACGGAAACACTTTCCCTTCAAAGAAAATGTTCTCCTGTCAGCACTCCTGTAATCTAATAAGTCTATTATTTTTGTTATTACATTAGAATTATTAATTTTTCTTTTAAATATTAATAAGAATTCTATAACTTTTTTGTATTATTTTCACATCAACAACTGACATCATTTTTGTCACCAGAGCCCTTTGTAACAATTTGCATGTTAAACATCTTATCTTTACAAATTTACCACAGTACTTTCTTATTCACACCAATGCATTTGGATTAATATTACAGCAGGGTTGAGTTCTTGGCCCAGTGAATAGAATAATATTAAAGATAAATATATTTTGAGCAGCAAAATGTTGCAAAACAATTGGTGCTTTTTTTTTGCAATTGTATCCCTTTTAACAGTAAAAACACTCGCAGCTCACTTTCCTCAGTTTCATCACTTCCAAACTTTGCTCCATCCATTTAACAAAAAATGCTTTGTTTAATCCCATATTTGTGTATTTTTGCCAGGAGACATTCACATTATGGTAATGTTCATGCTTGAACTCCTTCATGCAATACCTAGACCCCAATCTCAATTCACCTGGGATCTGACATTCTGGAGATCTAGGAAGTCTCCTGGTTGCTCCCAATCCTTTCTGCTCTATGCTCTCAAGTGTGCTTCTGCTCCTAGAGTTTTATCAGCCAACTGATTTAAGTTAGAAAATTTGGTCTGCCAAGGAGTAAACAGCAGCAACAGATTCAACATTGTCTTCACTTCCTGTTGGAAAGTGTTCCTTTACTAGAATTACGTTTGAACATAATAAATCTTAATATAAATTCATAGATTCATGTATACCTCAAGAAAATGTTTATAGTGACAAGTTATTTGTGTGCTTGTTTTGCAGTTTTTCAAATTATAATTTTACTACCAACTGTATTCAACTTTCAGTATATGAACTATGCAAAAGGTTCCCAAAAAGTCTCATCTACATTGAAGGGCCTTTTAATCATATGATGCAAAGACTGTTGATGTGTTGCAGCCCATGATATTCTCATTTTAGCATTTACCAGCAGTAGTAAGACTAATGAAATTAGATAACTGATAGTTTGCTAAGGATTGCAACCCAATATTTCTGTGCAACATTTGATAAGACAACGGTATAAACATAAACTCATTAAGAGCTATTTTTTTTGCATACAGCAAATTGTCAAAAATTCAGTTTATTTCCATGTTAATAAAAAAATTCTAATAAATAAGGTGTAAAAAAAAAAACCTTCAGTTTATGAGAGCCCAAACAAGTACAGAAAACACCAATGCTAAAAGTAAGTAGGCATGTATCACCAATTTTGTCAATATTGGAGGAACATGAAAATGTTTAGGCTCTCAGTAAGAACAGAGAGGAAAATTTAGGACTGAATGTTCTTTTGCTCTACTGAATATAAATAATTCATTGCATTTTTAATTTTCATACTTCTTGCCTAGGTGACTTGTAACAAAATTTTAAATTCTATGGCTGTAATCATAACAAATGCTTAAGAACCAGGTAACTGATTTCTCCGATTTCTACTTTTTCTGGTGTTCAAAAGAACTTTCAATTTGCCATAATCCCCTTTAAGTTTTGGAACTTCTGACACCTGACTCTTTTTTTGTCTACTTTCTTTGCAGTACTGGTTAATCATCTGCATCTCGGAGTGACTGAATGATCCAGTAAGGTCCTTGGGATGAAATTGCAGGCCACTCAATGTACTTGCCCAGATCCACTGAGATTTGTCAGTCATAAAACTCACAAGTTCCGATTCTAAGATTTTCAAATTGATTTTGGCAACTGTTTGCTTAAAGCCATTTTCAGTTGCTATACAGTGATACAATCCTGTATCAGAGTCTTGGATGGAACGGAGAAGAAGTCCTTGTCCAGTTGAAATGATCCTTTCATTTAATTTCACCTGTGGAAGAAAATTAAATCTTTTCAGTTTGTTTAAATAAAAAAATAACTAATATTTAACCGTATATGCTATAATATTATATATATTATAAATGCTATGTTATCTTCACTTTGCTAAGGGACAGATAATTCACAGATTAATGCACTTGTAGAATGGAATTAGATGTCTCCTATTCTATTAAAGAGAACATTTACATACATACTTGTATGCCGACCATAAATTGTGGGGTAGAAGCTGTTTCTTTGCAAAGATCCATGTGCACCCTACTGAGCCACAGTTGAAGCACTTCAATCAATAAGGTTCCTGATTTTTGCTAATTGGAGAGGTCTAGCTAACTCGGTAGGGAAGGAGTGTCAGACCTCTGCAGAGAGATCACAGCTTCCACACATCTTTTTTTATGATGACGCGGAGCAATTATGAGAGAATTGAATTGTAAGGGGCTCAAAGAACTCCTTTACTAATTTTCAAGTGGTTCAAAAGTTTGGATGATTCAATATATTTCTTATTTGTGACTAAATTAATCTAAAATGTGATCATTGTTTTAGGTTAAATTGTCATTGATTTATCCACACTGTCAAAGTACTCTATATGATGGTAACTAAGTATAGTATGCAAAATGTGAGAAAGGTCCATATGTGGTCAAAAAAAAAAAACTGTCTTTTTTTTTCCCATTAGTTTCTCTAATCCATTGCTCTATACACATCAAAGAAATACTGCTCTAGGCAACACAGACAGTCTTTCATTCCACATACACAAATCAAGAACTGTGCTATATAAAACAGCTGCAGTCACATTTGGAAAAAAGTGAGATGCCGTATGCTTTTTGCATGATTCAGGGAAAATGGACTGCATTTGAGAAGTTATAGAGGCAGTCCTATTGGCAATCCAATTCACATTTTAGACATTTAAAACAAAAAATATAACTGAGGACAATTGAAAACTCCTAGTGACATTGCGGCATGTTAAACAGCATACTAATCACATAAACATTTGATACAATAGAGTATCAGTAATACAGTAGGCCTTAAAATTTGAATACAAAAGTTTAAAAACGGGTAATTGATGAACTGACTCTTTTCTCTATAAATAAATATGTAATTCATGGTGTAGATTTCAAACATACACATTTTATGTGATCATGAAACAGAGTGCATAGCAGAATACAACTACTGACATAAGTGTGAAGATCCTGACTTTGAACTGTATATATTGGAAGATTTAATATTTGCGACCCTTCTGTACAAAGACCCCATTGTATGGTAGAAAGGACTGACATGCTCAGTTTCATCACGTATTCCATCTGGTTCTAAATAATTCTCAAACTTAATGTTCACTCAAGATCGCAAAACACTTGGACGTATTTTCCCCTGTAAAATAAGCCAGTAACATTTGTTTCTTGGCAATCAGAAGACTAATTTCCAGACAATGATGCTGACATTGTCTAGAAGGAAAGTGCAGCTGCTGATTTGGGTCATACAGTAAGGTTAACAGCTCTAAATTGTAGAAATAAAAAAAAAAGAAAACAGCTTCTATGGGAAATCAATAATAACATCAATTTAAAGCCCAATTAAAGTCTCAGACTAAATGGTAAAATATTATCAGGATGCAGTAAAATGGTGTTATAAGTGTTATGGCTCCTATGTTTTTTTAATGAAACCCCAATCATTGTTACCGTATATATCAAACTATACTCATGGTCAATTTGTAAATCTTGAATCTATGCAGCTTATGCTATATATATATATAAAACTACACATTTTAATAGAATGCTCATCATCACACGTGGGTGTCAGCTATGGTAGTCTGCATGCAAATGCAGTCTCAACAAAAAACTTCAGGCAACGGATGTGGCATAAGCTCTAAAATTCTTCATGAATAAGTAAAATACCAAATTTTATTAGTATATAAAAATGTAAAAATGGTGATACAAAAGAGACAAAGTATAAATCGCATAACACCTTGAATGTCCAGATTTCAAAGAGACAGCTAAAAAGTGTCAAAAAACTACACATACATACATACATAGACCACAAAAACCTGCATCATCACAAAGCCAGTAAACACAAACCTAACATGTGATGTATGCAGTTATCTGTGGTTAGCGAAGCTCTCCAGTCGGTATATCTGTCAAATTAATCACTAATAGAGGATTTGCATGCTGTAAAACATAGGATGTAGGTGACCATAAGATGATGTGAGCCTAAATAGGCCTCTATAAGTATTGTAAATTGGAAGACCCATGACAGAAATCATCATTGGAACCTTAGGAGTTAACCCGTCCCTTTTAGGTACTCTTCCCTCCTGCCTATCTGGCTATATCAGCTGTAAACGGTCTTGGGTAAGAGACAATATCAGGGTAAGATGGGCTTTATTAACTGCCTAGGTTTGTGACCCTTCTCAGTTGCCCATAAATAGCCTGCTCACTTGGTAGAGTAAATCCTATGGGTATGTAGGTATCACTGGGGCTTAAACATGGGGGGATCATGAGGACACATGGCTCATTGACTTGTACGTAACTCACTAAAGTGCCAAGTAGACCGCATTAATACCAACACATAAACAGTCTATTACGAGGGCAGCCTGTGTATTAGAGGGTATAGGTGTTAACAGTTTTAACCAGGTGAAACATCCCTAGGAGATCAATAAACTGCACTTCAGATGTTTCACCTGGTTAAAACTTCTATTATATAACTAGAGCTTATGCCACGTTCGTGGCCTGAAGTAACCACTGTATGCCTTCCGCGTCTATACTGAAGTTTTTTTGTTGTTACTATTACTAGGTTACGGCGTTGACACTGAAAGCAGTGAGTTGGCAAGCCTAGAATAAGTAAATGAGCGTTTTGTTCTCTCTTTTCAACGCAAATGCAGTCTGCATAGAACTCCACTCCTTCAAACTGACATCCACACATGAATGCATTTTGATATTTGCATAATTAATCCCCAAGAATGGCCTGATGTTTGCATTAGGTACTGAGTCAGGGTGCTGTCATGTTTTAAGGAAGCTATGTACAGTACCTTGCCGGACACTCCCATGAATTGCATGAATTGCATAGACAAGCACAGCCACTCAGTGATGACATCACTGGGTGTAAAATAAGGCATGTAATAAAAATTTAAACATTTTATTTAAAATTTTATTAGCATGTTGATGAAAGGGGAGGGAGGAACCAGACAAAACATAAGAAGATTTAATTTTAGCTTTAATATATTGAGCAATAAATATGAAGACAGGTCCTCAATTGCATCACAAAAATTGTATAAGGAGTTTACAGCATGAGTTAACATATTAACAATTCAGGAACTGATATCAGCAAATAAAGCAAGTATTAATGATTTCACTCTGTAGTTTTCATTCAGTGGGAAGCACATCAGACTGCTGCAGAGATACTGCTGCTTTCACACAAGGAGAAAAAGTCCTTCAAAGCAGCAAAGTACAAGGCAAGTTCTGGGGCAGAGGGGTTATTTAAAAAACCCCCAAAAACCTGATATTGTTAGCATTTGCCCAGAGACTTGAATTGGCCATTAAACTTTATATTGTTATGATTAATGTATAACTAAAGGCAAAACTTTTTTTTTTCAGTTTTGGATAGAGTGAAGAGGGATTAGAACGTTTGTCAGGTTTTATTGCTGTCTGTGCCCCCATTAGTAGATTCACCCACTCTATTTTTCCTGTTTACCATTATCATTAAAAGTAAAACAAAATCCCAAATTTTGGGTTGTCCCCAGAAAAGTAATAAAAGGGAAATCTTCCAATGGGGACACTAGTTCCAGTGACCTGGGGGTCCCTGGAGAATTCTTTTAATTTGCAGGGATTTCCTATCACATCCTGTTTGGCTATGGGACAGGAAGTGACAGAAAATCTCCACAATGGGACACAGATTGCAAAAAAAAAAAAAAATTTGACAGTGGTTATAACCCTCCCTTTCTCTATCCAATATGACAAAAGAAAAAGGTTTTGCCTACAGTTCTACTTTAATATACTGTACTGTAAATACATATAAGACTAGTTAAAAAACTAAGATAAACTCCAGAATACCAAAACTTTTGAGATTCATAAAAATCAAATATCAACTAGCTTAGGATAGCTGGCTTACTGAAAATTTGAATTATTTTCCCTCATTCTGCTGCTTGAAGTGAAGTCATCACCAAGCTACATCTAAAAGTCCAAAGCCTGACTCCTCCAGGTCCCAATGGTACAGGAATGACTACCAGCAGAAGACAGATCAAGATGGAAATTCAGGTGCCCAAAATACTCCAGGAATTTCAACAGGAAGCAAAACAACACGGGGTACATTTGAAAAGCAGTGAATGTGACATTCGCCAAATATTCACTGTTGTCATTTGAAACATGTGCACCAAGAATATTTACCTACAGTGACTATTTAGTGAATGTCACATTCACTGTATTAAACGTATACCTTATAAAGCGAACATTTTTCACTGATTGATAGAATGGGAAAAGTTATATTTCTCCATTCCCATCAGGGACACTAAGGCTACATTCACAAGGTAAGTTAGCACCGGCCATTTCACATGTGACTACTCGTCTGAGCATTTACATATAAACAGAGCCTTTGGCTGACTCTGGACACAGACAGTGTGGGGTTTATTTACTAAAGCTGGAGAGTCCAAAATCAGACTCCCTTCTGCATAGAAAACCAATCAGCTTCTAACATCAGCTTGTTCAATGAAGCTTTGGCAATGAAACCTGGAAGCTGATTGGTTTCAATGCAGAAGGGAGTCTGATTTTGGACTCTCCAGCTTTAGTAAATAAACCCCTGTGTGTCCAGGTTCAGCAGGACAGGTAATCAGGAAATTCTAATGAGAAGTAAATTAATACATTAATAAAACGAGTAATACAAATCCTAAAGGGTATCTAAATATCCCTGCTTGATCCAAAGTTAAGAAAAAACAGTCTGAAGTTTAGGCAAACATAATCTGCACACTATATACACTTGCCCCTTTTCCACCAACCCGGGGTTCTTTCTTACTCAGCATAAATAACCCGGTCTGAAATATTGTTTTTCAGTATGAAAGTATCATGCCATATTTTCTAAGGCAGGATATTAAAATAACAGACATTACAGACAAATATTCATTGGCTTTGTTCTATTATGGTTTCACAGCAGATGAGGGAGGGACAAATTTAGGTCATTTGTTCTATTATGCTTTTTCTGGCTCTACATAACTCAATGTGTAATGTTTCTATTACACAAAATCAGATTTTTCATGGAGGTCTTTCTACAGAATTGGTGCCCACCTGGAAGTTCTTTAACGATATCTTGAATGAAATTGCAAAACAAGTGCATAAAAATATTTTTTCTGGATATTCACTTGCAAATGTTTTATTATATTAAAGAAAACAGCTACATTGAAACTGGCTACAGAACTTCACTGTACTTAGCATTTACTAAATTAGAATTTTAAGTAAAACTCCACACAACAAAATAAAAGCCTATAAAAGATAAAAAAAAACAGCAGCTTATGCTGCAATATTTACCTTCAATCTAAAACTGCACCCCCCCTTCTATCCGCTGAATTGGTCATCAGCCTTCTAGGTTTTATGAAGGCCAGTATATTTAGCCAACTTACTCTGACACAAGCTCAAAGCCTGTCGACATAGGCCATAAGGATGACAGAGTTCATCTGCAGTGTGATGACTAACTTGTAAACAAAGTCTAACATCTACATTTTTAATCACTATATCATAGCCGACTTAGTGATCCCTAGATGAGAAGCCACTGTTGATTTTGTCAGTTTGTGAGGACCCCAACCGTTAGACAAAGCCAGTTTTGGAAGCTAGCAACCACACAAAGTTGGCTTTCAAAAGGGGAACATTTGCAGGGTACAAAGCAGTTAACAAATACTGCTAACAAAGATAAGAATTTTGCTCCCCGCCTTCCTTAGTCTGCCCCATCAGAAATCCAATAGCTCCCCCTCCTCTGGGAATGCTCGTGGTTAACCTGTGAAATATTTATTTGACTTAAGTTGGTTGGAATATGCTGGAAAATTAATAAATGAGTCATCTTTGTTGAGCTGGATATTGTAGGACTATAACTCACCTCTTTCCTTCGGTCATTATCCTTTTGAAGCAGCCATTTCACAGAGGCCTGTGGAGATTTTGAACTGCACTCCAAGAAAGTTGTGTTATTTCTTACACCATACTGTACAATTTCTTCAGTGCTCCTGTAGCCTTATAAGAGTGAAAGAGAAGAAAACACTTCAAACCTTGCCAGAAACATCAGTCTTTCCAAAACTATTCAATATATTTAGCCGTCTTGGAGACAGCCAAAGGAAAAAATATAAATATAAGGCAGCCACATCATTGGGTGCAAACCATTGTGAGCTGGACAGCACCTTGATCTGTGGACATATATCATCAATTATAACTGAACCATGACTTTATTCTGCAATAAATGAACTGTAAAGTGAAAAGCCAAGGAGATTGGAAATCGGAAACTATGCTCTATTTTCAGATTTTTGTGGTGAATACCATGTAATATTTTGCTTTCATTTTGAAACACTATCCAGTGAATTGTAAATATTGTAATTCCATAAATAGTGTCTTAAATATTAAAAAAAACCTTAAAAGTTTTTCTAGTGTTCATTAAACTGTTGAATATTTGGTGCATATTGGAAATAGTATACTACTGTGGTTAATGTCTTTTACAGTGGTTAGCAGTAGGATTATCAGCTTTTGGACTTTTGCATTGACTTACACTAAATATAGTAAGTGGCAACTGTACAGTCTACAAGCATTTGTATGCCTTTCACTTGACCACATAAAGGAAACTATTCATGTGTACTGAGTTTCACTTTTTTCTTATTTAGCACTGATGGCAAATTCATGTTAGCAATAAAAATGACAGCTTTAACTTACATTATAATTGACTGTAACTGCACATAAGCAAAGAGTACAAGTGACATGTCAGCTGCATCTTAAATTAGAGTTCTAAAAATAACTAGCAATCACTTATCGTTCTGTTCCGGCACACTGATTAGATATTTACTGTCACTGAAGGAATTCAACTTTAAGCAGATATATACTTAAATTCTAAAGTCTGGCTGTCTTTCAAGAAATCATTAAAGTGTTACTAAACCCAGGACCCTGCATTCACTCTATCTGGTCTCTAACAGTACACAGAACATGGAAATGCAATTATTTTAGTAAACTACAAAATTTTTTTTCTCATCAGCAAATTCCCTTAGCATAGTGAATGAGGTGGAGCTCTGCTGACTTCCATCATCCTACCACATGCAAGCAAAAATACAATTCCCTTGCACATGACTGGATATTCTTTGAGAAGTCAATTTTTACCACATTCACTAAGCTAAGGGGAAATTCCTGTGCCAAAGTGAACAGCCTATTTGTCTTTAGTAAATCTACCCCATGGTGTCAGCCCTGCCTACTTATTTCCAGATGGATTATAAAGAACACAGTTCCCCGCTCCCCATCCTGGATAAAAGAAACCATTTTAAATTGTATATTTACCAGGGTGCAAATAAGTTCATGGTCAGGGTTTACATACACATTAAGTTTTCATATATTCATGTTAAATTCACTAATGTACCAAAGTCCTTAAATTGTTTCAGTTAGGGAACTATGTAACAGTTAATGTAACCATTTCCCTCTACTGCAGCTTTCCCTGTATTCTTGCAGTTGTACCTGTAGCATTGTCTGTATAATGATTTAAAAAAATGACACTATTGACCTAATTTGGGCTTATTTACTAAAACATGAGTGTGCAAAATCTGGTGCTGCTCTGCATAAAAACCTCAGCTTCTAGGTTTTTTTTTTTTGGTCAATCCAAAATTGAACAAGCTGAAGTTAGAAGCTGATTGGCTACCATGCAGAGCTGCATCAGATTTTTCACTCTCCAGTTTTAGTAAATCGACCCTATTGTCAATACTCCCATGTACTGTTGTTGTTGTCCAATGAGACAGAGTACTATAGAGTACAGAATTTCAGTTCATCCACCATTAGCCTTGCCTTCCTTCTACTCATACCTCCACCAAGATAAACAGCAGAAAGCATTTTGTAACTGTGCTGGGCACTCCCTCTATCATTTTCAGCACATGTCTACAGGAACAGAGTATAGAAGGTGGCTTGGGAAATGTAATTCACTGCGCATATCTTCGTGCAGGTGCTGGTGACATAGACCATTTGGTTGCCCCTGGCTTCTTTTAGTAGGCATTAATATTTTGTTCCATCATGTTTAAGATGTGGCTCCCAAAAGGTAGAGTGTGGCAAATGAAGAAAAAATAGCAATAAACAGTGCATGTCAGAAACGATATTTGTAGACTAAATTATAATAGATACAGAAAAGTGCTTTAAAACTACACTACAACTAAGTCAATAAACCTTGGTTACTTCATAGAGATCCGCCTAGTGGTTAGCTTACCAGTGGAAGTAATGTACATTATTGTTTCAACATGGAACAATTTTAAAAAGACAAATGAACACAATGTGTTATGCACCTTCAAGTTAAATCCACGGCACTGGGTAACTGGATTTCCATGTTTTATGTCCTGTCTTCTACTTCTTCTACAAAACAGAAAAACAATGCAAGAGTAATTTGTATTCTATGCTCAAATAGAAATTTTTAGAAATGCAAAGAGCTCTTTTTAGTAAAAAAAATAGCATATTGCTGGCAGTCTTAAATGCAAACATAGTTACCAAACCTCAGTTAAACTTTGGATACTTTTGTTGGCTTCCCATACTCACAGCTACAGCCTATATGGTTAAACTTTAGTCGCAGGGCCACAGCTGGGAGTGATTATTGTGAGTACTGATGCATACACTGCTGTGATATAATAGCCAAGCACAGTGGTACATATTAAAAGAGACGTGCAGGAATCTAAAAAGCAAACATACATACTCACCTAGATGACTGCAGTATGGATTCGATGCTGCATCTGTCCCCACTGGCTCTACACCAAGAACTGTGTGATCAAAGACAGATGATTACTCAGTTCTCATTCTTCAGTAAGCAAAGAACAAGTGACCGTCAGTCACCAGCTCTGTACTCTGTCCATCCAGTGATCACTGAAAAGCTGGGCTGTGAAGGGGTGGCTTAGTCTTTTAGTATGCCGCTGAGAGCCAGCTACGATCAACCATCTGGGTGGATACTGACATTATTGTCAGGATCCCTGCAGAGCCTGAACCAGCTCTGTAATGTCAGCCAATGGTGGGCTTTAGCTTGCTGTTGGCTGAATGTGTTTCACAGGAGTGCAGAACTAAATGCTTTGGCCATACTTCTCCTTTAATGGAGTAGCATGTATCAGCATTACAATTTGACAGCTGATATTTTTACACACATTCCCCATGTTTTCTCAGTACAGATTTTTTTTTTTTTCTTTTTAAAGGTTCAGGGGTTTAAATTAAGATGTTAAATGTAGGGTTGATTCTATAAGGGGAGATAAAATAAAGCATTAGGATTAGGATACTTGTTAAGGACTATTTTTAGTGGTGTCTTAGAGGTTTGGGGATCCAATGTAAGGGCTAGGTTTAGAGTTAAGTGAGAGACTAAAGGCTGGTACACACTTACCAAAAACTGACCGGTTCAACAGGAACTGGATGACTTACGGTACATGTGTACATCTATATATTCAACAGAAGTTGGCCTAACAACCGGCTTCTGTTGAATGGTGTTGCTGTAAAACTAGTATAACAACTGGCTTCTGTTGAATGGTCTTGCTGGAAAACTAGTATTCGATCAGTGCTCTCAGGCAATGGCTGTAAGCAAGATCAGTGTACTCAGTGAATGACCTCACTAATAGAACTCCACACTGCTATTATTTTGAACATGCCCTTTTCAATTAGTGATTCAATTACACAGAATCAGCAGCGTGCATGTTATGACTGTTGGGTCTATTGGATTTCTATTACTCTACTACACCTGCCAGTAAATTATCTGCCATGTAGAAATATCATTTCTACCAAAAACTGTGATTGATCAGGTTAGTGATGTCTGACTGCTATTAATTTGAACACAACTGTACATCAACATAGGTAGCTATGATTGTTTATATTTTTTCAAATCCTGCACTTTTAAATATTCTTTTTAAAAAAAATCGTCTCAACATTTGTGTAAGCATAACAAATAATTTCCATAATTAATGTAATATGTGTGTTATAGTTTCCTAGTTTCCTTTTGTTGGGCGATTGTAACAAACCCAACATTCGATCCTAAGAGAACATTTGACTAACAGGGGACATACTAGGGGGAGACTTCTGTACAGTGTGCAGTCTTTAGAAAAATTTTCTGTGAACAGCCTGAACAAATGGGTGTTCAGCAGTAATATCACCAACACTAAAAATGACAGCTTGCTCCTGTTTGTTAGAGAACCAATGACTCATCCCCACTCTCTTCCAACTGTCAGCCAGGGATTCCCAATAGGTAATGTAAACAAACAGCAGGGATGGTATGAAAAAAATCAAACCAAGCCCTGTGGTTCTGGTTTACGTTTTAGGGGGGGCCCTAAGGGGAAAAATAGGCATGCCTCTCTCTACCAAATTGCAAATCATACCATTTGAGTCTAGAATGGATTTTAAGGGGGATCCTCATGCAAAAAAACAAGAAAAAAAAGCATGATGCTCTCCCAGAACTCATACTAGACTCTTATCCGTGCAGCCGTGATGGCGAGGACAAATATGAACCCCCACCCCCGCTCCCACTTTCTCCTTGAAATATACCAACCAAATGCTTGGTGGATGATGGAGGGTGGTCTGATGGTGGGGAGCTTATTGGAATCTGGAATCACCACTGCCTGCTAAATGTTTTATTTGAGAAGCTGGGGGTTCATTTGGCTGACTGAACACTCGTTCATTTGGCAGTTCACACAAGATTTCCCATTGACTGGACAAAGTGCAGAAGTCTCCCTCATGCTATGTACCTTGCTGACCGAATGTTCTTAGCTTATTAACTTTCATGGTCAAATATCCTTAAGCTAGTTTTCTCTAAGATCGAACGTTAGCAGTTGTTACATTAACCCAGAGAAAGGAAACAAAGAAACTATTACATACATATTACAAACATTGCAGGAATCATTTATTATAATTGCATGCAAATATTGAGAAATACACAAAGTGAATTTTTTACAAATTGTCCTCCAAGAGTCTAGCATAGTAATTGTGTAGACCAGTGGTCTTCAAGCTTTGGCCCAGGGGCTGCATGCGGCCCTTTGCTTGCCCTTATCTGTCCCTTGGGGCACTTTTTCTCCCATTGATACAAGACACAATTCCTCCCACTGACACCAACAAGGGGGCATAATTCCTGCTACTGACATCAACAGTCACTATTCCTCTCACTGAAACAAACCATGGGGCACTATTCTTCCCACTGACACCAACAACAGATCACTATTTCTCCAACTTACACCAAGAATAGGGCGCTATTCCTCCCCTAATGCCAAAGATGCTTTGTTTACTCCCAATGACGCAGGACAATTTCTACTCCCAATGGCCACAGTCTGGCCCCCCTAAAGTCTGAAAACCAGTAAACTGGCCCTTTGTCTGGAAAGTTTGGAGACCCCTGGTGTACACTGAAAGTGACCCAAATGACTTATTATCATAATGTTGCTCTGTATGCGAGCAAGTTAGTTACTGGTTGTGCTATCATTTGACTGATATCAGACTGCATAATGCTTGTGGCTTTCCTGCGAATATTTTATTATTAGTCTAAAAATCTAGATAATTCAGTAGTGGGTAGATCCATCTAAATCTCTTCAAGACCCCATGTTTCCCAAAATCCACCACTTTTTGGCACAGCCATGTAACAAGGAGAGTGTAGATTCAACAGCATGGTGTCATCTTTTTTTAACCAGCTACTTCTGACTTTTCCATAGGAATATTTTCAGTTAAGACAAAGAAACATAACAGCACTAGGCTTCAGGTCACTGTTATAACTCCTTAAGCTGGCCATACATTATACAATTATCTGGAGATTTGTGGTTTAGATTTACCAAAAACCATATAATAGGAGGACAAACCTAAACAACACTTTCAGTTGTATCCAATTAGGCAGGCCCTTGCACTACACAGTTGAAGGTAAATCTAAAGGAAATTGGGCAGAAAATTGGAAGATAATTGTATAATGTATGGCCAGCCTTAGTCTTATAAGAGTTCATTGCTAAACCTGAATGATGGTAATTTCTGAAAACTGGGTCGTATTTAGATTGATCATAATATTGCTTTTGGTACATATCATCTTTCTGATGCTCACCTTTTCCCTGATGGATAAAATCTGGAACAATACTTTCCATCCCAGGCACAGTAGGGATCTCTGGCTAGGCAGCAGTCAGCACATGCAGTTCCATAGATATGGCAGCGATGTAAAGATACTTGAGTGACTCCCTCTTCTGAACTGACATACAGTTGTTGCTGTGAAAAAATTAATTGTATTTTTATACACATTTTGTCTTAGCGTGACATAATTATGAACTAAAGCTGGTATGGGACAGTTTGTTTCCATGTTCAGCAGCCCTTACCAATTCAGAAAAAAAGATTAAAATTGTTCAGAGGTTACCTTTGGAGATCTAAATTATTTTTTCTATTAGAATATGGAGAAAGGCATTAGACCAGTTATTCTCAAAAAGTTAAAGCCTACGTTTACACATCAGCACAAGGGATTGTACTTACAATGAATGCAAAGTTGTGCCGCTCACTGTGGTCTAAGTTGAAAACCTCTGTCCTCCCCCACATCAGAAGATTACAGTTGGGGAGTGGTTAATATGAGCCAAGAAACCTGTCATTTACACTCATCAAGACTGCGGAGTATGCCCACCCTTTCTGCCCCCTCATCCATTCATAGAAGCTGTACAATACAGTAGCTTTCATCAATAAAAAGCACTCTATGAATGGAAGGTGGGCAGAATGTCCAGATTTTGTAGGTATTTACTTTAATTCCAGTTGTATCTAATGAACCGGACGCAAAGGAAAATCTAGGCAATGTGACATAGATTGCAAAACACAGCCTGATAAGGTTTCCACACTTCCCTATTCAATACAAAACTAATAAAATAACAGTTTTTACTAAAAATGCACTGAATCAAGAACTATGTGTGTCAATGGTTAACAGAAATACATCTCTAGGTTTGCCTAGAATTTTGCTTAAAGTAAACCATCCCACTCCTTTTTGCCATCCCATCTAACAGCACCTGGATATAATGTAGCTGGTTTTGTAATCTATTTAATTCTTCATCTATCCTATCACAACTCCCTAGGAATCACCAGATAGCAATCAATTGTACCAGCAAAATAAATGGAGCACAACAAGATGCAAAATAATATTCTTTATTTAAATAGCCAGCAGGAACTAGTTTTCTTTTCTGACAGTGCTTTCTCAAAGTAGATCTAGATAGCAGCTATGTAAATGCAGTGTAAAAATGTACTTTACTTCCTTCATACCTCCTTTTCCCATTGACTGGCATTTTTTAGTGATGTATTTTGTTACAGTATTTTAAGATAGGGAAAGAGATACGTTTTAACAAATGCAAATTCAAAACTACTCTAGTATTAGTTATGGACACTACATTTTAAATATGCTTGGAATGAAATATTAAAGGGGAGCTCCAGTCTTCTGCTACCTAAAACCATCTTCTCGTTGTTCCCAAACACTCTCCCTCCTGGTCATTTTAATAAAAAAAATACCCAATACTTACCTTTTTTTCACAGTCTTCTAATTGGTCCAGTGAAGTTGGACCAGCTTCCTTTTCTTTCTTTAGGTGGTGGCAAGCATTCTTCTAGGACTGAGCAGGGCTCATGCCCTGGAGTACTGCAAGCCCAGCCAGTAAGATGATGTGCCCGCTAGGGGGTGTATAAAAAAACAGGCCAGACTCACATGAAATGGGCAGAAACATACTGTCTGACTTGTGTTCTGCTCAGGGAGGACTGCTGGAGCTGAACCCAGGGGTGAAGCCAGGGATGGTGATGGAGTATGGAGAGGGTAAGTTAAACTTAGCAATGCCTTTTTTTTTTTTTTTTAATATGGGGTGGTGTGGGAGAAAAAAGCAAAAAAAAAAAAAAAACTTGTTATGATATAGCTTAGGGAATTAATTTTTCAAGCTCAAATTGTAATTACAGTCTTACAGTTACTGGCAAAATGAATTAAATCTGTCACCAGTCTTCATTAAATAAATAGAGAGCCTTAAAGTTGTGTAACACTAAGCTTGTGGCTACAGCTCCCACTTCAAGCACATAAAATTAGATAAAGCTGTGCTGAGAAAGAGCCATACATGGAATTCAGAAACATCCAACATCAAGACAATTAATATGACTTTCATGCTACACAGTTCAGCTGCAAGTTTTGTACACCTCGTAAAAATAAATGTGTATCTCAAAGTTCAGTTTGAGCTAGGTTAAGGAGCATTACCTTTTTAGAAGAAATCTTCATTGAGGTTACTGGAGCTTGACTCTAAAGTACGAGAAAAAAAAACACTCCAGTGAGAAATAAAACCACATAATGTCAATATTTTTCTAAACGAAAAGAGGTTATGTCCCTATCGCTACGTCTTTAAACTAACAATAATAGGCACTGTGTACTCATCTGACAGTAAGGGCTCATGTACAAGGGCCTCATAAAATATGTCTATGAATCTTGCAGCCAGAAGCTGGCTGCAAGATTCTGCATAAAATATTGTCTGTGCGCTGCATGCATGTTTTGTTTCTGTAATGTTTACATACATAAATTACTAATGTGCACTGTCAGTTGCTGGAACTCTAGGAGACTTGAGACACCTTCATCCCAGCAACAAAGGATGCTGGGTAGCTTGCAAAGAAGAATCCTAGGTAGCTTGCAACAAAAGATGCAAGGGCAAGCTGCCTACATCCTAACAACAATGTGGGGGGAGCTAGTGCTCCTTTTATACTTTACACCAGGGGTCTCCATACTGCCCTTTGCTAGTCTTTATCCAGCCCTTAGGACACTATTCCTCCCAGTGATATAATGCACTATTCCTCCCACTGACACCAACAAAGGGACACTATTTCCTACACTGATACCAATGATGGGGCATTATTCCTCTCATTAATACTAGTGATGGGTATTAATGGGAGAAATAGTACTCCATGTTTATTTTCACTGATGCTGGGCCCAGGATATTCTCTACCCCCACTAGTCACAATTCGGCCCTCCTAAAGTTTGAAGGACAGTAAACCGGCCCTTTGTTTGAAAAGTTTGTGGAGACTCCTGCTTTACACTATGGCCATTCTTGAGGCAATCAGTTCAACCCAACCTTCCACATTCAGAACAAGGGGTTGGAGTCTACTGTCCTCAATGTCATGCATGGATATTTTCACAAATTCACCCTTTTTCTGAACATGAGGGGAATGACCAGCATGGTTTGGGGTGTTGCAATCCCCAATCAGGTGAGTTCTGATGGCAAGTGAGAGGAGCCATTTAAGCCTGTGTAAATATTATGATTGGCCAGGACCAATCAAATTTTACACAGGCAGAAATGGCTACCAGTTGCAAACTTAAAGTGATTCTAAAGGTTTATTTTTTTTAAACATGTCTATACTTACCTGCTGTGTGCTGTGGTTTTGAACAGAACAGCCTGGATCCTCCTCTTCTCGGGTCCCCTGCAGGCTCTCCTGGCCCCTCCCTTCTACCAGGTGCCTCCACAGCAAGTAGCTTGCTATGGGGGCAACTACTGCTCCGTGTGTCCAATCACACACAGAGCCGCAGCTTGGCCCCGCCCCCTCTCCTTATTGGCTCACTGGCTGTGATTGACAGCATTGGGAGCCAATGGCTACCGCTTGTTTCAGCCAATGAGAAGAGGGAGTCCCGGGATAACCGAGACTCCAGTGAACATCGCTGGATCGAGAGGGGGCTTATGTGAGTATTAGGGGGGCTTCAGCACACAGAAGGTTTTTTTTACCTTCATGGGGGAAACCCACGCAGGCACAGCGAGAACATGCAAACTCCATTGTAGTGTATAATTTTTACGAGCATGCGCTTGGTAACTCGATTTTTTTTATGGATGAATACTGTACTACTGTACTGATTAATCGCTTGCCATCAGCCCTATAGCAGAAGTACTGTTACATGGCGGCATGGCTGCGCAAAATCACGTATATATACGTGGTTTGCATTTCCGGGTAGGGGGCGCGCACGCTGCCATACCCATGCCGCTATTGGCGGCTGAGGATGTCAATCACCGGGTCCTGGCTGGTGATTCCTGGCTGGCACTCGGTAATCGTCAGGAAAGTTGACAGGGGAGAGACCTGTGTTTAAACACCACAGGTCTCTCTCCTGTCAGTATGGACATGCTGCTTTGTATCTCTCTGCACAGCAGAGAAATACAAAGCAGCATGTCTCCCAAGTAAAACAGCACACAATGTAAAACACACACAGCACACAGTTAACCCTTTGATCACCCCAGATGTTAACCCCTTCCTGCCCAGTGTCATTAGTACCATGTCAGTGCTTTTTATTAGCACTGATCACTGTATTAGTGTCACTGGGGATGTCAGTGACAGTCAGTTCCCCCCTGTGTAAGAAGTCACGCTATAAGTCGCTAATCGCCGCCATTACTAGTATAACAAGAATAAAAATAAAATTTTAATTATATATACCACCATTTGTACAAATAGTGGTATATATTGGGATTTTTTAGCCAAGACATATAGCAGAATACATTTTGGCCTAAATTTATGAAGAAATTAGATTTTTTTATAGCAACAAGTCAAAATTATTGTTTTGCTTTCAAAGTGGTTTGTCTTTTTTTGTTTTCAAGCACAAAAAATAAAAAATGGAGAGGTGATCAAATACCACCAAAAGAAAGCTCTATTTGTGGGAAAAAAATAACATAAATGTAATTTATGTACAGCATTGCATGACAGCGCAATTGTCAGTCAATGTAAAGCAGCACCGTATTGAAAAAATGGCCTGGTCCGGAAGGGGGGTAAATCCTCTGGAGGGTAAGTGGTTGAACGGAAAATTGTTCGTTCTGTTAACTTACAAAAAAAATCTTTGTGCTTCTCCCATTGGATAATTTTGCATAAACTATTATGATCGGCTCTCGAAAGCTGTGTACTAATGATCAGATTATTGGACAATTGCTCCAAAAATGTTTTTTTTTTTTTTTTTTACTATTTTCTCATCGTGTGTACTAGGCATTACACAACTTTCTGAGTGTTGCTGGGCATATAAAGATTTGTAACAAAAGTCCACACCATGGAAGTGGATGGTTACATCACTGACCTCATTTGTCAAACACACAATAAACAATAATAGCATAATGAAAACAATGTGAATCAGATTTCAGCAACAGCATTGCTTTCCACCTCTTACATCCAGCTAACAAACACATTTCTGTTTGCTATTCTGCAATGGCTATACACATGGACAGCAGAATTTATGTCGTCTGACATTAGGTCTGAATATGCTCACTGAGGTCATAGTTGAAGTTTACCAAACATTACGTTATTTCAAGGCTGGTTTCTTGTAAGTCAAACACTCATTACAACACCATTTCTATAGTGTGATTTACAGTGCCAAGATTGTCAGATCAAAGCTGTATGTAAACACTTTTAGAAACAGAAGCTTGTGCCAAACCTTGAAAACCTCCAGCTCTTCCAGAATCAGCTCACTGCTTGTGGAGCTATTACCAGGGAGGACAACCACCTTCTGTACTGTTCCCTTATCTAGAAGTAAAAATATAAAATAAAAAAATGTTTAAATGGCAAAACACGCAAGTTACAATTTCAAAGATGTTTACATACTTTAAACCCTGGTTCACACTGCTATGTCATGCAACTTGAGACACAAAGTTGCATGACAAGTGAAAACACTTTGATTTGAATGGCAGCTGTTCCAATCAATGCAACTTTTAAAAAAGGTCCTGCACTACTTTGAAGTGATTTTGATGTCACTTAGAGTCCCTTAAACTCTAATGCTCCATGATAATTGCATGAAAGTCACAAGCAAGCCACACTGCATAGTTGCAGTAGAAGTTACCCACAATGGGGACGCAGCAGTGTGAACCAAGCCTAAGATTAAAGGTTCCTAGAGTTTGGATGTGGCAGTGTGGTTACCTAGATTGGCTTTATCCATTCAATGATCGTACTTTCAGCAGCAATCCCTGTGGTGGCATGCAACTGGCCCAATGCGAGGAAACAGGTAGACAATACTATAACTTTTTTATGCAATTTTTGTTGCACTCAAATGAACTTTGGACTAGAAGGCATTCTACAGTTTTTGTTCAGTATTAGTACTCATGTGAAAGTAGTTTTTTGATATTTAACTAACAAGAATGTTTACAGTAACAGAACTAGACAGCGTAGACTGCACCCCTATGCCTTAAACATTTTGGCCTTTCATGCCATCATGCCTGATGCAGCAGTGCTCACAATATTGACAGTGTCAAATTGCTACTGTGTAGGTGGATATAAAGTGGATTTTTTAGTGATATCCCATTCTGTAGTAGTCATCTCATCAAACAGAGCATTGATTCTATAAGATAGAAATTTATACAAAAGAGAAATTAAATATTTTATATTAAGCATTCCAACAGCACACAGCTCATCAACAACCTGCACACGGACTCCAAACATTACCCCATTCATGAACAGGCACACATTTTGCAAGTATAGTGTATAAAATTACACAAATGTTGATTAGGGGGCTGGGACTTCCTAGTCTTGCCAGTTGTGTAGTATCTGTATTTTCATGCCCGTGCATCTGAACCCTAAAATAATATATTGACACTGTGTTTACACAATAAATGCAGACAAACAGAGCTGACGCAGTTCACTTGGCACCATGCTTTTCAAATCAAAGCCTCCTGTATGTTTTTGGATCCATTCCCTTTGTGATTTTGGCAGCACTACCCTTCTATTCTATCACCATATTAGTCCACCATCCTCAAAAAAAAGAAGTTATCCTTGCTTGCGGGATGTAAAATCTGAACAGTTAATTCCAAGTGTAAAAGAAGTAGAATTCCTTCTATTGTGATATTTTGTTAAGTTAACATGCCAACTGCTACATATTTTAACAAAATACTAGAATTTGTTTGGGGATCCTGTTTAATTTCAGACATATAGTTGCCATAGAATATAAAACCAGAAGACGCTGTTCACTTATTAACTGTCCCCATATGTGCAATTTATTATATTTAACAATATATTTGAAATAACACAATCCAAAAGGTTTTGCCATTTCAGAATCTTACTGTTGGATTTATATTCTGGAAATTGGATTAGGATACTGCCTGGTTGGCAAGCCACAACATTATTACACTGCTGTCTTACTAGAAAAGACTGTTTAACTCTCTATATTTATTTTATGTAACAGGGTCCGTGTTGCCTAATTTATGCTAAAAACACTAAATCCGATACTAGACAGTGCAATGATACAAGGCATACTGCATACCATTCTTATGAGGGTACCCCTCAAGTGAGTTTCCTGCTCAGTGCCAAAAGAAGCATACTTTCATTCAAGCTTGTTGACAGGGTGTAAACAGTGCGGTATGAAAGATTTCTGCTGCATTATTCAAGCTTGTGTATTTTAGCCTTTTAATAATATTATTATAATAAGCATTAAACAACAGTTTGTGCAGCACTTTACAACACGAGGGCAGACAGTACAGTTACAATGCAATTCAATACAGAAGGAATCAGAGGGCCCTGCTGGTTAGAGCTTACAATCTAAAAGTGAGAGTCAAGTGATACAAAAGGTGTGGGGATGAGCTGATGAAGAAAGTGGAAATACAGTTGTTAGGTTGAGGTTGATAGCCTTCTCTGAAGAGAAGGGTTTTCAGGGATTGCCTAAAAGTAGACAGAGAAGGAGATTGCAGGACATATTGGGATAGGGAGTTCCATAGGATGGCAGAAGCTTGGGAAAAGTCCTGGAGGCAAGCATGGTAGGAGGTGACAAGGGAGCTAAAGAGAAGGAGTTCTTGGGAGGAACAAAGAACAATTTGGTTGGTGTTTTGAGACTAGGTTAGTGATGTAGCTGGGGCACCAAGTTGTGGATGGCTTTGTAAGTTGTTAGTATTTTAAATTTAATTAGTTGGGTCAGTGGCAGCCAGTGAAGGGATTAGCAGAGAGGAGTAGCAAACATTGAACGGTTGATAAGATGGATGAGTCTGGCAGCAGCATTCATGACGGACTAAAGGGGGATAGCCTATGTAAAGGTAATCCAATGAGGAGGGAGTTGCAGTAGTAAAGACAAGAGATGATCAGAGAATAAATCAGAAGCTTTGTGGTGCCATTGGTTAAGAAGGGGTGTATTTTAGAGATGTAGCAGGAGGCTGCAAGCTTTGGACGGTGATGGGGTCGAAAGGAGAGTTCAGAGTCCAAGATTGCACCTAGCACCGTGGCATGAAGGGACAGATTGATGGTTGTGCCACTGATCTTGACAGAGAAGCCAGGAGAAGGGGCATGGAGGGTAGGAAATATTATGAGCTCTGTTTTGGATAGGCTGAGTTTGAGGAAGTGGTGTAACATCCAGACTGATATGTCAGTCATTAAGTTAGCTATGCATTAGGGGAGACTGATGTTGTGAGGCTATCACCTGACACAGGGAGGAGGTGTAGCTCGAGAATAGGAGTCCAAGAATAGAACCTTGGGGAACCCTGACAGAGAAAAGTAGAGGAGAGGAGGAAGTGGAATTTTAAGTGACACTAAAGATGTGGTGGGATAGGCAGGATGAGAAACAACAAAGAGTACAGTCACAGACAGAGACCAAAGGAATAAAGTTTTTTAAGGAGGGGGGGGGGTGTCAACCATATCAAAGGCAGCCAAAAGATCATAAGAAGCAGTTTAGAGTAGTGTCCATTGGTTTTAGCTGTCAGTAAATAGTTTGTGAGTTCTAGGAGAGCAATTTCTGTGGAGTGTTGAATTCAAGACTGAAGGGGATCAAGAAGATTATTTTAAATGAGATGGTCACTCAGTTGGTTGTAGACCAGGCATTCAAGGAGTTTGGATGAGAAGGGGAGCAAGGAGATGGGGTGTAGGTTGTTAAGATTGCCGGGGCCCACGGAAGGCTTTTTAAGTATGGGGGTGACTAGTGCATGTTTTAGAGAGTTTGGGAAGATGCCAGAAGAGAGGGAGAGATTGAAGATATGTGTTAGAGAATGAAGAATAAAGCCAGAGGGTGACCGCAGTTTTTGAGGGGGAACAGGGTCCAGGGGCAGGTGTTTATTCTACAGAAAATGCATCAATTATACATCCACTGGAAGAACAGTTAGTGGTGGCTTGGAAACTTATGTTCACCTCTACTATCCGAATTTGCAATGGTGCATGTTTTTTTTTTTAGACCAAGTACCCTTTGCACATACAGTTTTATGTCTACTACAGACATACCTAGGTCTCGAGAGCAAAAAGCTCTCCACAAAGAATAGAACACAACCAATAGATGCTCAAAATATGTGATAAAAGGTGTGAACTTTATAATTAAAATAGTGTGGCGCTCTAAATAAATACACCAATAATAAATAAATATGTAAATATAGATAAAATGAAAAAAATAAATATGTGCCAAATAAATAAATATAAATATATATAAATGTGACAAATTCATATAATATAATCCATGAAACAATCCCAAATAAATATTATGAAATAAATAACAATGTATAAAATCTGTATCAAATAGACCTCAAGTGATCACTTAAATAATTAATCTAGTGTCTAGGATCAATGATCAAAGTCATGCTTATACATAAAAATAAAGTGACCAAGTAATATTGCACCATATGTAAAGTGAAAAAAGTGCTAAAGTGACAAAATAAGTGCAAAAAACATATAATCAAACTTATTAAATAATCAATGAAAAAACACAGTCCACCAGGTGAAAAATATAACCATGCGATGTGTGGTGATAAAAAATTTGTGGTTGGTGCCAAACTCTTCTCCTACAGGTGGCTAAATTGCCTCCTCACCTCCTCCCGGTGACCCCTAGGGGCCAGCAGGCTTGCAGGATCACCCTGGATCCCTAATTTCAAATAGATCAGCAGCTTTCCTCCTTCATTAGAATCCTTTATGAGACTCCTGTTTCACTAATTCGGCCAAGGTGTCTCTGAAGAACAATGGCTCACCAGTACAGTGAGCCAAAAAAGAGATTGCCCTCTAAGTGCAGTATTAATGACTCCTTTTATTAAAAGTATAGAGTAGCAACACTCACATTATATCACAGTCCACCCTCCTCACCGATGTGCGGGTATACTACATGTGAATGGGACTTCCTAGGTGAAGCAAGATGGCGTCATACGCCGGAAGTGCGTCACAACGCACCGGAAACTTCGGACTCGCGAACTTATTTTGTCACTTTAGCACTTTTTTCACTTTACATATGGTGCAATATTACTTGGTCACTTTATTTTTATGTATAAGCATGACTTTGATCATTGATCCTAGACACTAGATTAATTATTTAAGTGATCACTTGAGGTCTATTTGATATAGATTTTATACATTGTTATTTATTTCATAATATTTATTTGGGATTGTTTCATGGATTTTATTATATGAATTTGTCACATTTATATATATTTATATTTATTTATTTGGACACATATTTATTTTTTTCATTTTATCTATATTTACATATTTATTTATTATTGGTGTATTTATTTAGAGCGCCACACTATTTTAATTATAAAGTTCACACTGTATTTGGTATCAGCAGGGGAGTGTTGGCAGCT